TAGCTCACCTTGGAACGAGATTGCATCAGCTTTGTTCACAAGTGTCATCTATGCCAGGTGCATGGTGATTTGATTCATTCTCCACCATCTAAGTTGCACACAATGTCTTCACCTTGGCCCTTCATTGCCTAGGGCATGGATGTTATCAGACCAATTGAGACGGCGGCATCAAATAGACATAGCTTTATTCTGGTGGCCATTGATTACTTTACTAAGTGGGTCGAAGCTGTAACTTTCAAGTCCGTGACCAAGAAGGCAGTGGTAGATTTTGTTCATTCAAATATCATTTGTCGGTTCGAAATTCCCAAGGTAATCATCACAGATAATGCTGCTAATCTCAACAGTCATTTGATGAAAGAGGTATGCCAACAATTCAAGATTTTGCATCAGAGTTCTACCCCATATCGTCCCAAAGAAAATGGAGCTTTTGAAGCTGCTAATAAGAACATAAAGAAGATATTTCGTAAGATGGTGCAAGGTTCTAGGCAGTGGCATGAAAAGTCGCCTTTTGCTTTGCTGGGCTATCGCACTACTGTTCGCACTTCAGTAGGTGCAACTCCTTATTTGTTGGTATATGGAATTGAGGCAATTATACTTGCGGAGGTTGAGATTCTATCCCTTCAGCTTGTTGCGGAAGCTGAAATTGATGATGATGAGTGGGTCAAAATCCAGCTGGAGCAGTTGAATTTAATTGATGAGAAAAGATTGGCATCAATGTGTCATGGTCATTTGTATCAGAAGATAATGGCAAGAGCATACAACAAGAAGGTGAGTCCTTGGAAATATGAAGTGGGCCAGTTGGTATTGAAGCACATCCTTCCACATCAAGCTAAAGCTAAAGGCAATTTCGCTCCAAACTGGCAGGAGCCATTCACCGTGACAAGAGTGTTGCCCAATAGTGCTTTGTATTTAACAGACATAGAAGTAAAAGTTATGGATGTGGCTATCAATTCTGATGCAGTCAAAAGATACTATGTATGCTTTCTTAGCTCATCTTTAATCACATGTTTTGTACTTAGAATTTTCAAAGTTTGGTATGACGAAGGCATTTTATTCTGCTATCTAAACACTTTTATCCTTTGCTACCCCCTTTTTGAGCCTTTGATGCATTTTCTTTCATACCCTTCTTTTGGAATCAAACGTAGGGTTAGAAAATAGAAAAGAAAAAAAATTAGAAAAAGAAAAAAAAAAAGAAGAAAAGAAAGAAGAAAAAAAGAAGTGGAAAAAGAGGGGGAAAAAAAGAAAAAGAAAAGAGATAAAAAAACAAAACAAAACGAATTGTAGTTTATGTTGGAACTATGTTTGACTTGATTCCTTTTAAGGATACGTAGGCAGCCTTACTCTGAGGTTCGGTCCCATCAAAATAAAAATCTAAAATTTCCCAGATTCAAAGAAACTAGGGCATAAGTTTTAGTTTTGGAAAAAGATCTGATATCAAAAGTTGTAATTCTCAACCCTTTCATCTTAAATTGTTTTGAGCCTTCATGCTATCATTTCTTCCTAACCTTTACCATAAGCCCATATTACGGTCCAAAGAAAGACCTTCCGATCAATCTTTGAGGATAACAAGTCAAGCGTAAGATAGAGGTATGATTTTCTTACATCATGGGTGGCACTTTGTTCATAGGAACAAAAATGAATAAAATGAGAGAGTCTTATTGGTGAAAACCCTCATGGGCACCGCAAGGAGATGTTGAGTTGAGAGATAAACATATGAGAGAGGTTTGTTGGTGAAAACACTTCGTGGCACTACAAGTGGAGTGAGGACTGTGGGTTTTACAGGAAAATTGAGTCATTGAAGCCCGGTTTCGAAGTGTAAAGGAATGACGTAAACTGAAGGTGTGATTGGTTTGGAGGATTAGGCTGATCAATCCGAAATGCATGTCATGATCATTGGAGCCAGCTGCTTCACTTAGATAAGTCTCTTTTCTCCTCTTCTCCAAATAGTCATATTGGTTCATACCTTTCCTTTTTGTTCCTTGTTCCAAAAATCACTTCACTTTGTTCTTTTGGTTATGTTTCTTTGTGTCTCTTTCAAGTCAGTATTGTAAAAGCAAGAAAGAAAGGACTTCAAAGTCTACTACCGACTTCTTGATTGCACAAGGCGAAATTCAGCCAAGCACATTGCCAGTAACATGATTCAGAAGGAGCAATGTGGTGATAACTGAAGTTCAGGTGATCAAGTGAATCTTGAATTTTGAGAAAATACAAAGGCTCAACAATTTTCATAATGAAAATGCAATGCAACAAGTGAATGTTAGGGATTCGGGTCATTCAGAGATTTTTGTGGTCGAGGTTCGATCAGAAGGTCAAACAATTTCTTGTTAGCACGAAGCAGCTAATCAGAATGAAGCATGGCAGTGGCAGAAGCGAACACCTTCAGCAACGATGCCACAAACTAACCGCCATGTTTTCAATCTAACAAGATTTTCTTTGTTTGAAACAGGGGCAAGAAATTTTGTTCATTCTACAGGGATCCCCTATGAGGAAAGCATATTTCAAGTAAGTTCATTTTTGACTCTTCAGGACCCTCCTGGATAATGGGATTTAGTTTTAAGTTTTCAGGACTCTCCTAAATAATGAGATTTAGTTTTAGGTTTTCAGGACCCTCCTGGATAATGGCATTAAGTTTTAAGTTTTCAGGACCCTCCTGGATAATGGCATTAAGTTTTAAGTTTTCAGGACCCTCCTGGATAATGGGATTTAGTTTTAGGTTTTCAGGATCCTCTTGGATAATGGGATTTAGTTTTAAGTTTTCAGGACCCTCCTGAATAATGAGATTTAGTTTTAACCCTTCAGGGCCCTCCTGGAAATGGGATTTAATTTTTTATAAAAGTGCTCAGGACCCTCCTGGATAATGGGATTTAATTTTAAGTTTTCAGGACCTTCCTGGACAATAGGATTTGGTTTTAAGTCTTCAGGATCCTCTAGGATAATGGGATTTAATTTTAAGTTTTCAAGTCCCTCCTAGATAATGGGATTTAGTTTTAAGTTTTCAGGACCCTCCTGGATAATAGGATTTAATTTTAAGTTTTCAGGACCCTCCTAGATAATGGGATTTAGTTTTAAGTTTTCATGACCCTCCTCGATAATGGGATTTAGTTTTAAATTTTCAGGACCCTCCTGGATAATGGAATTTAGTTAAGTTTTTAGGACCCTATTGGATAATGGGATTTATTTATAAGTTTTTAGGATCCTCCTGGATAATGGAATTTAGTTAAGTTTTTAGGACCCTATTGGATAATGGGATTTATTTATAAGTTTTTAGGATCCTCCTGGATAATGGGATTTAGTTTTAAGTTTTCAGGACCCTTATCAATAATGGGATTTAATATTAAATTTTCAGGACCCTCCTGGATACTGGATTTAGTTTTAAGTTTTCAGAACCCTTCTTGATAATGGGATTTAGTTTTAAGTTTTCAGGACCCTTATCAATAATGGGATTTAATATTAAATTTTCAGGACCCTCCTGGATACTGGATTTAGTTTTAAGTTTTCAGAACCCTTCTTGATAATGGGATTTAGTTTTAAGTTTTCAGGACCCTCCTGGATAATGAGATTTAGTTTAAGTTTTCAGGACCCTCCTGGATAATAGGATTCGGTCTTAAGTCTTCAGGACCCTCCTGAATAATGTGATTTAGCTTTTAAACTCTCAGGACTCTCCTGGATAATGGGATTAGACTAACACTCACAAATGTTCCTGGTACAAACCTAGGCAGAAAAGTTTCTTTGCTTTGTCTATTTCGCTGTGATTGCAGGCACCCACCTGGACAATCAGGGTTAACATTTCAGAATGTCATGCACCCACCTGGATAATGAGGGAATTCAGTTCGAGTTTCAAGTCAGTAGCAGGCGTCCACCTGGAGAATGAGGGAATTCATTTTAAATATCAAGTTAGTAATAGGCACCTACCTGGAATATGAGGTTTTAGTAGCAGGCCCCCACCTGGAGAACGCGGGTATTTATTTCAGAGTTGAATTCAAGTTCGGATCAGAACGTCCACCTGGAGAATGAGGGTATTTACTTTAGAAATTAGTTTCAAGCTCAAGTCTACTTCAAGTTCAAGTTCGCTTCAAGTCCAAACAGCATGAGCCCGCCTGAAGAATAGGGTCAATTTTCAAGTTTCATCCAAGTTCGAGCAGCAGGAGCCCGCCTGAAGAATAGAGTCAATTTTTAGTTTCCAAATTCAAGTCAGAAGCACCAGGAGCCTGCCTAAAGAATAGGGTCAATTCAAGTTGGAAGTAGCAAAAGCTCGCCTTAAGAATGCGAGTCAACATTTCGAGATGCACAACAAGACCGAAAGAAGATTCAAGATAGAAGAGTAGATACGATTTTATAGTTTTCTTGTAATTCTTATTTTATTTTTTATTTTTGATGTAATGACAGGAACCACGGACCGGAACCTCGACAACACTTCACTCGACTCTCCACCTCGGTATCCTTCCCCACTTTTTCTACTTTTGAACTACACGTGACCTGATTCCCATATAATTCGGGATATATAGGCTGTCCAAAACCAGGACTCAGTCACATTTTCCTTTCTTTTAGTTCACTTCTCTTTTAAATAATGGTCGGGTCAAAAAACTTGTCTCGTCGTTCTTCGTCTGAAAACTCTTCATGTTTCTAGTCAAAGAAGGGCAGCTGTAGACATGTAATTATTTACCCTTCCCGAAATTTTATATCTTTTTAGTGCTTACATATTTCTTTAGGTTCTAAAATTGATACTTTGCCTATTTTTGACCTTTTTGTTTCATTTTCCCTAAAAATAAAAATTACAAAAATATCTTTCTTTGTTTTAGTTAATTTAGTTCATGTTACTTCTCATAAAAATAAAAATTCCAAATAAAGTCATGTTTGCTTTAGGATTTTATGGCATTATGACTCAATAGCTCTCTTTATCTGTGTACTCCTCACAAATGGACAAAATAGGATAACAAACTCCTTTGCACAATTTAATCTCACAATTCACTCATACGCACAAAAAGAAGAAAAGGCAAACACAATCACGTAGTAAGGGGGTCCACGTGGTTTGGAGACATTTTCTTCCTCTCCAAGCTAAGCACTCAATTTTTCCAGGATATAACCCCACACAGAGAATAAAATGAAGGGGGAAACAATTAGAAGAGCAGCAACGAGTGGGGAACGGGAATTGAACAAAAAACCAGAGGGGATAGAGAAGAGTCAAACTGAGAGGAATAGAGTGAGAGGGGTGACGGAAGAAACTCTAACAGGGCACTAGACACCAAGGAAGTTAGCACTCAAATTTTTAGTTTCTTTTCTCTTAATCTCGTCGAGCTTCACAGTAATTTAGCTACCCTTCTTCATCAACGGACATCCACATAACTCCTCTCCATTGTTTCCAAATATCTCACTACCATGTGAACTAGGAATACCTTCCTCCGATTTTGCTTCACCAAAATAAAACTACATCACCACCTTGAATCCTATATTATTATCTCGAATTTTCTCTGATTGGTAAAAAGTTTCTGTCAGTTGAGCAAAATTTTTGAAGTTGAGATTTGGGGTGCTCAGATCTGAGAGACAAAGAGGTCTCGGGACAGTCCGTTTTGGTGCTCGAGTTTTTTCGGTTCCGACTCCTGTTCGTACCACTATTGCTGTAATTGCTCGAGGTCCATTCTAAACATTCCCTTTCGTTGTTATATTCTATCACATTGTGAGGTGTTTATTTTGCTTTTAATCTTACTGTTTATTGATTTCTGGTTGTGTTAGCATGTGTTAGATGTAATTTATTTTGTGATATTGAAATCAGATTTGTTTATAAAGAGATAAGGATGATATAATAGGCTATATTGGCTTTTAGAAGAGTATGACGGATAAAAAGAAAGCTTTAGTTTAATTAATCATTGGGCCGTGGGGTTTTGGGAATTAATTGTTAAGAAAAAAAGAGCATGAAATGAATTCCTCTGTTATTTAATTTCTTTTTATTTAGTTTATTTCTTCATATTATCCGCTAGTAGCATGTTTAGGCCGATCACACTTGGGTAGTCAAGCTTTAGGACTTTTGTTTAAATTTTGAGGCAAGAGGTTGTTCCCCTTAGTTTATTATTTTATTCGGGGAATGTCCCGAGGATTTTGTATATATTTTTATCCGGGGTATGCCCCATAGTGAATGTAATTAGAGGCCATGACGTACATCGTGAAGTGAGCATAGTATAGACTTTTAGTATTTTCACTCTTATTTAATTTTCTTTTCTCTTATTTAGATGGAGACAACCTCGAGCCTCTTGTATGTTTATTTTTATTTCGTGTGTTTTTTCCTCAGTTTGAGTTTTCTTAAAAGCCAACTAGATCATGTATGCAACTGTGACTTTCACGGGACTTGGGGAATGCCTAATACCTTCTCCCCGAGTCAAATGAACCCCCTTATCTAGAATCTCTGGTGCAAACTGGTTTAGAGTCAAATATGTTTTAAGGAAAAATTATTTATAAATGGTGACTTGGCACACCGAGATTATATGTCAAGTGGCGACTCTGAGAAAATCCCTTTTAAACAATCATTTTGTCACTTTCACGATTGAAAACCCTTTGAGCTTTAAAATCACTTTATATCTTTTAAAGAGGGTTAGTGAGGTGAAATATAGGGTGTGACAATTGGGACTCAAATCCAATGTCTCACCCTCATAAAGGCATGTTAAGCCATAATGCATTGGGACTCAAACCCAACGTCGTTTCATCATGATGCACCAGAACTCGAATCCGGTGTCTGAACACCTCTTCCGAAATATTACTACTTCTGATGCAAATTCGAGGCATGTAACATAGAGAATAGTTCTCTAGCATGTCTTAATCAATAATAAATTTAGTATTTGAACATATTATCACTTTTAATGATCATAACACCAATCAGAACTAACAATACTTTGAACATATAATTATTTAATTTAGCTGTTATATGCATAAATGCTTAGTCATAATGAGCCTTTATGAAAATATTAATCATCACTCTAATGGTTATATATTTCTTATAATTCTGTAGGCAAATGAAAAGGACTATGTATCACCTACCATTATGGTTTGAAGATGAAGAGTAAGTGCCAAGAGAATTGAGAGAATGAACCCATAAGGTGGCTTTATATACTTAGTGGGTAAAATTATATTTTTGTTAAAGTTTATTGGGCTATCGGTTAAACCGTTAATAAAATTGGGCAAATCGAGACCCGAACTGATAACCCAATAGTCAAATAATATTAAACCGTTATCGAACTATTTACCTAATAACCCGATATCGATAAGCCAATAGTATTTTACTGGTTCGCGCTATCGGTTATACCCAATATATGCCCCGCCCTATCCGAAACTTACCCGAGCCACCCGGGACCCCGTTCAAATGAAACAACAAGTCCATAAACATATTATGGATCTGTTCGAACTCTCGGAACACGTAAAACAACATCAAAACTAAGAATCGCATCCCAAAACCCAATTATATCAAATTATGAACTTCAAGCTTTTCAACTTACTTCGAACGCACCGAATCATACTTAGACTACTCAGAATGATACCAAATTTTGCGTACAAGTCATAAATCACCATACGGAACTATTCTCAGGCTCAGAATCCCAAGCGTATCTCGATAACACCAAAGTCTACTCCAAACCAAATTCAAAGAACTTGAAAACCTTCAATGCGCCAACTTCCACATTAAGTGCCGAAACTCTCCCGGATCATCTGAAACCCGATCTGAACACACGTCCAAGTCCAAAATCATCATACAAACCTATTGGAACCGTCAAATCCCAGTTCTGAGGTCGTTTACTAAGAGAGTTTATTCAAGTCAAACTTGGCCATCTTAGGCCACTATTAAGTAACCAAGTATTCTGATTTCAACCGGAACCCTTTCAAACCCAGGTCAACCACCCCCGCAAGTCATTAAATAATAAAAGCACATATGGAGAATCTTAATTTGGGGAATGAGGACCTAAAAAGTAAAATGACCTGAATACCATAGTGAATCTTTATTCAAGTCAAACTTGGCCATCTCCACAACCTGCTCGTAAGGAGGCCATAGTGACCTGAATACCATAGTGCAAGCCCACAATAAACCTATTCACTTGCTCTGCATCGGTGGGGAGTATCATAAGTTCATGGCGAGACAACTCAGAGAACCTTGCCTCATAATCGATCACAGACATCTGACCCTGCTGGAGTCGCTCGAACTGACCCCGTAACACTTCCCTCTGAGAGGGTGGGATATATCTCTCCAGAAATAGACGAGTGAATTGGTCTCAAGTCAAAGTAGGAGAACTTGCTGGTCTGCTAAGAAGATAGGACTGCCACTATCTACGGGCCTTGCCCTCCAGCTTAAAAGTGGTAAAGTCCACCCCATGGGACTCCAATACTCTCATGTTGCTCACCGCCAAAAGCAGGAGGATGTAGCCTGGTCCATTTATCTAATAGCTTATGCGGCTCGCCGGGTGCGACTGGTTTGGGATCTAGGGTAGCCGTTGCAACTAGCTGAGCCACGCCCACGGGTAGTGCACTCGGGGTCTGATATACGGCAGCAGTATGCCCTGGAGCCTGAGCGGTAGGGGTATGTGATCCCCATCCTGCCTGAGATGTGGCTGGGTCTGCTGGAAATAAACCAGCATGCATCATAGAGTCCATGAACTGTAGCATACAGCCCATGACCTCCTGGAAACCTGGTGCGGACATGAAATCTGTTGGGCCGGCTCAGATGCAGGTACCTCTCCCTGCTCTTCAATAACAAGATCATCCACTAGATCCACTGGTGGTACAGCTGGAGCAACTCTAGGACGCCCTCGAACTCTGGCATGAGCTGGAGCCCTCCCTCGGTCTCTAGCAATAGGGGGAGCAGCTCCTCCATGGCCGAGTACAACTGTCGCGCCCGTTCTCAACATCTGTGAGAGAATAAGAGAAAGATACTTATCACAACATCAATTACACGATAGGAGATGAAGAAAGAGAAGTTTTCTAACACCCTATAGCCTCTCGAATATAAGTACGGACGTCTCCGCACCGATCCACAAGATTCTATTAGGCATGCTCATGACTTATGAGACCTATGTGAACCTAGAGCTCTAATACCAAGCTGTCACGACCCAATTTCCCCTATAGGCCATGATGGCGCCCAACATCATCACTAGGTAAGCCAACGGTGAACTAGCCATGTAATTGTTCTTTTCAATAATTTCAAAGTAGTTGATTTTATTTATTAAGAGAATTTTAGTAGGAAATTATAGCAAAGTAAATCATAAACTAACGAAAGAGTAAATATAGTGAATTTAATACTCAAAACCATAAAGTGTCTTCTAGATTATTCCCAAAATCTGGTGTCACAAATGTATGAGCAACTAGTAGAATATACAAAATCTTATATACTACTGTCTGGAGTAAGATAGACAAAAAATAAATAAAATAAGAGAGACTACGTGCTCTGCAGGACGGACACAGAGAGCAGCTCACCACTAAGCCTTGGGGTAACGGGGATACGCACCTGAATGACCGCCAGATGCACATGCCGCAGATCCTGCACGATTAGTGAAGAAGTATAGCATGAGTACATAAACAACATGTACCCAGTAAGTATCTAGTCTAACATCGAAGAAGTAGTAACGACGGGTCGACATCGACACTACTAAGGGCCAATAAATAAAGTACATACATTCTAAATAGGCATGGAATACATTAATAATAGTAATAACGCAATAATGAACAATAAATAAGTGGTCCTTTAATTAGATATCAATTAAGATCCCCAACTAACACGTACTAACTTCAACAAATAAGAGCCATTAATGTAAATTTTAATTTCTCAAGTCATGGAAGTAATATTGAGTAAAATCGGACTCTGAGCAATATCACGCACGATTTATGCTGAGGTCGTACGGCCCGATCCAGAATAATATGTACGTTGCCGAGGGTCGGCCGGCCCAAATCATAGATGCATTTATTATACTGCCAAAGTGCTCTGCCCACTCCACAAGAAGAGAGAATACTCTACGAACTCCGATCTAATGGCTACTACAAGACTAATACACCAGAAGGCACAATTTCTACTAACAGTCAAGTAACCCGCCAAAACTCAAAGTAATGAAGTTCGGTTCGTTGCGAATCCTTTATCAAGTATCAATATAATTTAAGCACTTAAGCTAACAAGTAGAGTACAAATAATACAAGTATTACATGATAGAGTCCTAAAACTACCCGGACATAAGCATGATTTCTAGCTACATATTGACTCTCGTCACTTCGTGCGTACATAGCATTCACAATTAGTAGCAAATAGCAATTTAAATACCTATGGGGTAAATTCCCTCTTACAAGGTTAGGCAAGAGACTTACCTCGTTCTCAAGTTCACATTTCGGTCCACGAATCACTCTAAAAGCCTGAAGTTAGTGCTGAACAATCTGAAACTAGACAAATATTTTATAAATTAATCAATATATACTCAAAAGTTCATAATTTAGCTATTAAAGTAATTACCCAACCCGAATTGAAAGATTCCTAAAATTTACCTAGGGGCCTACATGCCCGGATTTCAGAATTTCTGAAGATAAATGTTACCCATAACCTCACGAACCCAAATATATAATTTTTACTCAATTCCATAACAATTTCGTGGTTTAATCTCATTTTTATCAAAACCTAGGTTTTTCAACAAAATCCTAAATTTTTCACAATTCTTGTTTAAATTCATTTGAATTGGATAGTTGATAACTAGCTTACCTAGCAGGTTGGGTTAGGTGCCATCACGACTAGTTGGATTTTGGGTCGTGACAAGGTGGTATCAGAGCTCTAGGTTCATAGGTTCTACGAGTCATGAGCAAGTGTCTAGTAGAGTCTTGCGGATCGGAATGATGACGTCCATACTTATCTTCGAGAGGCTACAGGGCATTTAGGACAATTTTCCATCTTTCTTTCCTTATCGTGCGGAATTGATTCAACATGAAATATAACTCTTTGAATTCCTTCCACGCATTCGTGTGCGCATGTGAGCGTTCGGTATCAACTATGTATCACCGGCTTGTGATTTTAGGGATGACATCGAGATGTGTATTTTGTGTTTTGGTGATAGGTCAGTCTAGAGGACTTGAGACCAGGTTTGGACCATAGCTTAGGCTCGATAGCTTCAGTTGTAACTTGTACATTTGGACTCATATGTCTGGTAGTATCCCTATGAGTGGAAAATTTGTGGCTCGATGAGCGGTCGAATGGCTATATGATGAGGATGATGCGATTGCAAGATGTGTTAAGATGGATTGAATGTGACAAGAAGTGTTTACTTGGAATTTAAAAAGGCCAATGGGTGCTTGATTTTCGTTTGATGTGACGTACAGTCTCGAATTATGAGTGTGTTGAAGGATCTGTCATATAGTTTAACTGTGGGGAGAATTAGATTTTCATGTCTTGTTAATGAGTTTGGACTCAGGAAGATTAAGTGATTGCGTAGTAATTGTGAATGCGAAGGGGTATAACAAGATGCCAATTTGAGGCTAAGCAGGTGTGTTATCTCCTGTATAGTAATCTACGTAGGTGTGTTCCTTATAATGTTGATTAGAGAGTTCCTTTTCTACCAGCGGGTTATATGTGTTGAGATTTGAATTTGAATCTAGTTGAGAAAGTTGACTTGACTATCAAGAGAATGAATGCGAGATTAGCGGATGATTGAGGTATTTTATGGTTGGTATTGCATGGACATGAGAAGAATTTTCGTTGAACTGACTGCGCTATTAAGGCAGTAATAAAGTATGGGTATTGTGAGTTATCAAGTGTTTTAATCTATGGGTTTGAGCCAAGTGGGGGAGCCTGCTATTGACAATTTAATTTCATGGTTATATGTAAAGGTTTAGTTTTAGGCTGAGGCATACTTGTTGGTTAGTTATAACTTGCAGAGGTTGAGATCGAGGATGAATCGAATAAGGAAAATCCTGGATACTGGTTATATTGCACTTATGAATATATGAGAATCATGGAATGAGTGAGTTGTTATTTGTGAAGGATGTAGTGCGCATGCAGTATGAATTTGATTGGTGGTGTTAAGGCAGGGGTACTTCTTTGGGTGTTGTTGTGCTAATGGGGCATGTGTCTTTCGGCCCATTTGGGCGGTGCAATTGAGATTTGAGCAGAGTAGATGACTCTCGAGAAAGTTCTAATGGATTCAAGATTAATATATAGCAATTGAGAATTTTTGGCGGATTTGTTTATGGCTAAAATCTGAGAATTAAATTGGATGGTGTCGAGACTTGTGGCATTTTTGTATATCATTATGGATTTTATATTTCGGTATCAGGAATTGTGAACATGCGCCTATGGTTATCCTCTTCACGAAATTGAGGAGTTGGTTGTAACATTGTGGTTGCGGTGGTGCTTGTTGAACTTGCAATACGGTTATCTTCCTTGAGACATCTCCCATATTTGGGTACACGGATTGCGCAGTTGTGGCGAAGTTATATTGATGTGGCGTGTATGTAGAATAGTTATGTTTAATAATAGAAGGTCATTGGACCTAGAATAGGTACTATCAGGTTTGATTACGGTATATTTGGGAGGATAATATTGAAAGTCGACTTAGCAAGTGATTATGGTTCTGGTTGGGGCGAGAGAACTCTATGACTTGTTGATCTAATAAGGGGTCATGAGATTCCGCCTGTTTCTTTCATTATCAGCAATGTACGAAAGAAATTGTTAGAAGTTGAAAATTGTTAGTTTTCATTAGGCTTGGATTGGAGTGAGATTTGTATTTTGATGTGATTTGAGGGCTCGACTAAGTTCGTATAATATTTTAGGACTTATTGGTACATTCAGACGGGGGTCCCGAGTGGCTCGAATGAGTTCCGGGGTGAGTTTTGAGTGAGTCCGGGCATTTCGGCGCTCTGATGTTGTTCTGGAACTTTTGGAAATGCGGGGGCACATTTTTGAGTGCTGAGGCACAAGAAAAGTGCAGACCGTACAATTCTTCTCGCGGCCACACTTTAGGGTGGTTTGCAGGTTCGATGGTCCGACTTCGGAGGCTTATATCTTTTAATCTACAACGTATTTGGAGATGATTCAAAAATAAAAGTTGTAGCCCTTTGAATCTAGTTTTCCAAAAAGGAATATCAACAATCATTTGGACAATTTTACAGAAAGTTATGGGTATTTTACTGAAGCCTAGTAGTGCAGAGTTGTTGAAGTGCGACCGCAGCTCGTGGGATGTGTAACCGCACAAGAAAATGTGCGGTCAGCACAATGGGGATCAGATTTTGTACTATATGAACGAGGGTTTCATCTTATTTTTCATTTTTGAACTCGTAAATGAATGGGTTGTCAGATTTTGTGAGTTTTGTCGAATTTCGAGACGTGGGCCCCACTATCGATTTTTCGAGCGGAGTTCATAAATTGTTAATTTTTAAGTATTGGAGTAAATTGTGATTTATTTGCACGTTATTTGAATAGATACAGATCACTGAGGTTGATACGCGCGGAATGGAATTTTCGAAGTATTGTTTATATTGCTCGGCATTGGATTCGGCTTGTTCGAGGTAAGTAACTCTTCTAATATTAGAGTTGAGTGTATGAACCCCGATTATAAGTGGTATGTGTTTGGTGTTGAGGTGACGCACATGCTAGGTGACGGGTGTAGGGGCTTGCACCGTTTGAACTGTGACCCCGTTATTCCTGTGGTACTGTGTAGTTACCTGAACTTATCTGTAATCATAAAATCTCTACGTACTAGAGTTATCGAGTTGTGACTCATGTAAAAAATAATGCTTAGGCAAATGTTGGTATTATTGGGACCCACAGAGGTCATTGTTAGTGACTTTGAGTGATTGTGAGGATTGAGTGACTGTGAGGACTAAGTGATTGTGAGGACTGAGTTACTGGGAGGACTGAGTAAAATGATACTCTGAGAGTATGCATATGGTTTTATCACTGAGTTGCATCGCATTGACATGCACATTTGACATACAGGCATAGAAATGCATTTTCCTCATAATGTACGGTATCACATCATTCATGACTTCTCACACATATTGGCATATGGGCATAGTGATGCATTTTTCACTGGTTATCTGGAAAGAAAATGAAATATCTTATTTATTGTTGAAAGGATTTTTGTGAAAATTATTGTATTCAAACTTACTCATATTTTTTGAAATTTCGATAAAAAACTTGAGTTTTCACTGATACACTTGAGAGGCAGAACTCTTTTCAGAAATCATGATTAAGCTGAGCATTTTATCTCTGAGTTACTTCTTGTATTACTTGTTTTATGTTGTTATGGACTGTTGTTGGCTATTGGTGTTGGACTCGACCTTTGTTCCAGCTCGTCACTACTTGCAACCTAAGGTTAAGTTTGTTACTTATTGAGTACATGGGGTCGGTTGTACTCATACTACACATCTGCACCTTGCATGCAGATATTGGATGCTGATGTTGATGGGATCGACGTGAGCGGGATTTGGAGACGTACATGTGTTTCAGTCGTAGCTGCCTCTTATTCATGGTAGCCTTAGAGTTATAAAAATCTGTTTATGTACATTTCGAACATATGGTGTATTTATTTCATACCAGCTTTATAAATTCTAATCTTAGAAGCTCATGATTTATACTACCAGTCCTTGAGGAATGTATAAGATTTAGATTTTATTTTTTTTACTTAATTGTCTTGTTTAATTTTATTGGAATTGGATAGTTGATAACTGGCTTACCTAGCGGGTTGGGTTAGGTGCCATCACGACTAGATGGATTTTGGGTCGTGACAGTTAACCACGACACTTACCTCGCTTTGCAACAAAATTCAAGATTCCAATACACTCTTCCCTCGCGAATTAGTATCTGAAAGCTTCAAATCTATTCACAAACAATTCAATATACTCAACACGAATCGTAGGAATTAATTCCATATGAATTTTACTTAATTTCCGGATTAAAATCCGAAATTTATTTTAAAAATTAACTGTGGGGCCCACATCTCGAATCCCGAAAAAATATACGAAATCCGAACACCCATTCCTATACGAGTTCAACCATACATAAATTATCAAATTCCGACATCGGATTGACCTTCAAATCTTAATTTTATATTTTTGGAAGATTTTATAAAAATTTGATTTTTCATAAATTCACGGATTCTTGATGTAAATAAGGAATCATGAAATAAAATCAATATAGGATAAGGAACACTTACCCCAATGTTTTTCCGTGAAAATCACCCAAAACTCGTCTTACCCGAGCTCAAAATCGTGAAAAGTGAAAAATGGGACGAAATCCCATTTCCAGAACTTAAGTTCTGTTGCCCAGTCATTTACCCTATGCGATCACAGCCAAACTCCCGCGATCGCGAAGCACAAAATTTTTCTAGCAAATTTTTACTCTATGCGATCGCGTCCATTCTCCCGCGATCGCGAAGAACAAACATTTCCAACAGCCTTCTCCAACTCTTCCGGACAGCCGCTAGTATAATGGCCATAACCTTTTGTACAAAACTACATATAATAAATGGTTTAACTTTCTTAAAACTAGATACCATTATCTACAACTTTCATGTTTTGGTCATCTCCATATTTCTTATAGATTTCGAGATATAAGCTGCCAAAATCAGCCTTGTGCGACACAAATATCTTCTTCACGATTTTCAAATATCTTCTCGGACAACCTGTAGTGTACCAACAATAACTTTTTGTACACAACTCCAAATGTCAAATGGTTTGATTTTCTGAAAACTAGACACAAAGGCTACAACTTTCATTTTTGGATCATCTCCAAATTTCTTATAGATTGCGATATATAAGCTTCCAAGATCGGGTCAGTGCAGCATAAGTTTCCGCTACGCGATCACGAAAGGTCATCCGTGATCGCGAAGCACTGGTCAATTTCTCCCATTTTACTCATCGCGATCACGGCCAACTATCCGCTATCGCATAGCACACTGCTGTAGCGAAAACCATCAGCTAAAATGGCCTAGAAATGGTCCGAAACTCACCCGAGTCTCTCGGGGCTCCAAACCAAACATGCACCTAAGTCCAAATATATCATACGAACTTGCTCGCGCGATCAAAACACCAAATATAACGCCTAGAACTACGAATCGGACTCCAAATCAAATGAAATTTTCAATAAAACTATCACGACCCGAAATCTCACCCGTCGTGATGGCGCCTATCTCAATACTAGGCAAGCCGACATCATCAATAACCCATAATATCTTTTAAATACGAAAAACATCATAATTAAATTTAAGAGAAAATCCCACAAATACTAGGTAAAATATATTCCCAAAATCCGGTGTCACTGAGTACATGAGCATCTATACATTACAAGTCTGGAAAACACAGTCTATAATAGTCTAAGACCAAATACAGTAAACAAGGAGATAGGGAAGTAGATACAACGTCTGCGAAACACGGCAGCTACCTCTGAATCTCTGGAAAATCAACTGTGCGAAAGAATCAACACCCACTATGTCCGGGATCACCTGGATCTGCACACGAAGTGCAGGGTGTAGTATGAGTACAACCAACTCAGTAAGTAACAATAATGAATAAGAAACTGAAAGTAGTGATGAGCTTCTCAGCTAAGTCCAAGTACAGTACTTTCCAACATAAAAGGGTAGGCATGCTTTCAAGTTCAACATTTAAAACTCCATAGTAATTTCATATCAAATTTGACTGAAACAGAAAATAATATTTTTCCAAAATTTCCAAAATAGTGATATATGATAGTTGAAGTGCAGCAATAATGAAATCAATGCATCCTCTCAGAGTAACAGCCACTCAGTCCTCCCATTCACTCCAACCTCAGAGTCACTCTTTCCTCAGAGTCACTCTTTCCTCTCAATCACTCAGCACTCGGCATTCGGCACTCAGTAGGTACCTGCGCTCACTAGGGGTGTGTACAGACTTCGGAGGGGCTCCTTCAGCCCAAGCGCTATAACAAGCCAATCATGGCATAAATCAATAAAACATGTTGTGGCGTGCAGCCCGATCCCGTAAGTATCCTCACAATTAGGCCCTCGGCCTCACTCAGTCATCAACCTCTCCGGTCTCTCAGGCTCTCATAAACCATGATAAGCAGCCCAACAACAGTGATATGATGCATCAATAATGAACAAGAGAGACTGAGATGTAATATGCAAGTAAAATGGTGACTGGGTACAAAATAGTAATTTAACAGATAATTCAACATGTACACGACCTATGTGGGTCCCAACAGTGTTAACACATGATTTAACCATGATTTATAGTTCAATATCCCTAATACGTGGAAAAATGTATGGTTAACAACAATTTATTCAACTACACAGATCCATGGAATTGACCAAGTCACAATTCCTACAGTGTATGCCCATACGCCAGTCACCTCAAAACTAATCACATAATGCATAATCCAGGGTTTCATATACTCAAGACCAAATTTAGAACTGTTACTTACCTCAATCCGAGCAATTTTTTATTCCAATAAGCCTTTGCCTCGCAAATCGACCTCTGGACGCCTCGAATCTAATCACAATTAATTCGATTCAATCAATTCAAATTATAGGAATTAATTCCATATGAAAATACTAATTTCCCAACAAAATTCGAAATTGCACTCAAACATTGTCCGTGGGGCCCATATCTCGGAACCCGACAAAAAATACAAAATATGAACACTCATTAAACCACGAGTCCAACCATATAAATTTCACCAAATTCCGACATCTACTCGGCCTTCAAATTTTCAATTAAAGTCCTTGAAGATTTCTATCATTTTCAACCCAATCTCTACCCATTTGAACTCAACAATCTTTCCACAAACCTTATTGGTATGTGTATGTATAAATAATACTCTCACACCCAAGAATCATACTCCCAATCGCCCATCTTAACTCAAAAATCGAAATTAAAGAATTGGAGGAAGAAATTCTTACCTCTTTGAAGGCCTAGCAAGATCCTTTTGAAATCTTCAAACCTTGAACAAGAATTGATGGACAAATGGCTTGGTCTTCACTTTCTCTCTCTAAGATGCTCTCACCTCTCTCTAAAATATCAGATGCAACACTTCAAAACGACCCCTAATAGTGTTTTATAAGAATGGGGTCGGGTTTATAAAACCAGAAAAATGAAGCCCTGAAACACACTACGCGGTCGCATATTCGACTGCATAACGCTTCTGCGGCCCGCATAATGGGTCGCATAAAAGGCCTCCGGAACTAGGCAACACTGCCTCAGTCTGCGGTCGTTATGCGGTCCACAGACATGTTCTGCGGTCGCATAATGCACCGCAGAACTGATCTGCGATCGCATAATACGCCGCAGATTTTCCTCCACACTTGCCCCACTCCTGATTCACTCTGCGGCCATTATGCGGTCCACAAAGTGATTCTGCGACCGCATAGTGGGCCGTAGAAATGACCTTCTTCCGACAAAATTTCTCCGGGGTACTTACACATAAGTCAACATCCGGTCAACCTTTTCAACTTAAGTTCTAAACCTTTGAACTAAGTGTTCCAAATCATTCCAAAACCTCACCGGACCCGAACTAATTACCATGATAACTCAAATAACAACTGTAAATCACAATTTGAGAAGTAAATGGGGGAACGGGGTTGTAATACTCAAAACTATCGGTTGGGTCGCTACAAAAACTTTAGAACTTCTATTTTAACAATCGTGCGACCGAATCACATCAAACCAACTTTGTTTCTCACCAAATTTGGCACACAAGTCATAAATATAGTAATGGAGCTGTACCGAGTTTCGGAACCAAAAATACGGACCCGGTATCAACAAAGTCAAACATTAGTCAAATCTTTTAAGTCATTAAACCTTTAAACTTCAAAATTTTGACAACATGCGATAACTCAACCTAGGGACATCCGAATTCGATTCCAGGCATACGTCCAAGTCCCAAATCATGATACGGACCTACCAGAACTGTCAAAACACTAATCTGCGTCCGTTTTCTCAAAATGTTAACCAAAGTCAATCCAATTGAGTTTTAAAGCTCTATTTCACATTTTAATTAATTTTTCACCTAAAAACTTTTTGGAAAAATTTATGAACTGCACACGCAAGTCGAGGAAAGCTAAATGGTACTATTTGAGGTCTCAGAACACAGAAATAATTATTAAATTTAAAGATGACCTTTTGGGTCATCACATTCCCACCTCTAAAATAAACATTCGTCCTCGAACAGAATTAGAAAAGTACTTGAGGTGGTGAAAAGGTGTGTATATTTACTCCGCATGTCCGACTCGAACTCCCAGGTGGCTATCTTAATTGATTGACCTATCCATTGCACCCGAACTGAAGGATAACTCTTAGACCTCCACTGTCGGACCTGCCGGGCCATAATAGCTATCGGCTTCTCTTCGTAAGTCAAATCCTTGTCCAATTGGACTGAGCTGAAATCTAACACATGGGACGGATCACTATGATATTTTCGAAACAAAGACACATGGAACACCGGATCAACTGTTGATAATCTAGGTAGTAGTGCAATCATGTAGGCTACTTCACCCACCCTTTCAAGAATTTCAAAGGGTCCAATATACCTAGGGCTCAACTTGCTCTT